CTCTCTCTCACCCTCTCTCCTTTTTCTCTCTGTTTCCTCTCTCTCTCCTCTGTCTCACACACACACATGCATGCACACAGCATTCAATCCTGAGAAGCTGTGCTCTGAATCACACCTAGTGTGAGTCCCCATGACCCACCTCAACTTGGGAGTGGTTCCCACTTGTAGGCCCAAGAACACAGGTAAATTGATTTAAAACAAGACCAGGAAATAAAAGATGATGAAATCAATCTGTAGGATGTTGCAATGAAGGTAGGATTGTGTGTTTTACACTCCTATTCACTCCACCTGGAGACATACACTTAGGTCCCATCCTGAGCAGCTGGTCTAGCTTGGAGCGTGGACGCCTCAAACATATCCTCTGCTGCAGGCTCTGTCATTGTTCATTTTGGTTGTCAACTTGATGGGATTAAGAAATGCCTAGGATGTTAGTGAGATGTACCTGTAAGTGTGTCTCTATGCTTCCCCCAAAGGATTAATTGAGGAGGGTAATATCAATGCTGAATGTGGGCTGGGTCCTCATCTGAAGAAAAAGGCAAAACAGAAATCCTTCTGAGCTTCAGCACTCCCCCTTTCTCTGTCTCCTGATCCACAGGGATGTGAGAAAGCAGTCACCTGCTGCTGCCGTGAACAGGACCAACCCCACTGCCATGCCTTCTGATCCAGGATGAGTTGTATCTCCTGAACCATGAGCCAAATGAAATCTTTCCTCCCTCAAGTTCTTGCAGGTATGTGATAACAGCCAGGAGCGACAGGAATCCAGACACATAGCAGAAAGAGCCAGAGCTCTGTTTAACCAACACTGGTGAGCGCTCCGCCCCTTAGATACGAACAGTGTAACGCAGCAGAAAGCACTTGGGAAAAACACAAGCACAAAACGAAAGGAGCGATCACACCTCCAGCGGAAGTTTATGGTGTTGTGGTTCATGAGGAACGTCAGTCTCTCCCTCTGTTGTCAGGCAGTAATTCAGTGCTGATCAGCAACTATAAAATATGATCACTCCGTGCAGAGAGAGTCAGAAAGGACTGCAACAGAGACCTGTAAGCAAACAGGTTTTTAATCTAGATCCCCAACATTCACACAGACACCCTAAAGCAAGGCAAGATGGTGTTTGCTTCATGGATTTTGCCTGCAGATGAAATTTGAACAGGCTGTGGGTTCCTCAGAGTTCCTGGGCACCTCCTGATGATTTCAGCATTTATATGCCAGATTTCTTAACAGAACATGCCTTTTATGTTCACCATGGGGAAAGTCTGCCAAATGCACACACACACACACACACACACACACACACACACACACACACACACATACACACATGCGGGCACGTGCACACACACACACACACACACACACCAGAAAACACAAAAGACATCCAAATTGGCACTTTCCTCACCTCCTTTCCCCTCACCTCATGTGATGTGCACTCAAGGAGTGAAATTATGGCCATCAAAGGCAAGGCTGCAAATAATTGGAACCCATACCTTTCAAACAAAATGAAAAGTCAGTAATTTTGAGGGCAGCCTATGGATAGCTGGAGTCTAGCTCTCGGGTCCCTAAAGCCCACAGCCAACTCCCCTTACTCTCAGCAACCATCCAAGCCCCTTCCCGCCCACCTTGCCCACTTCGAGTCCCCTGTCATGTTGCAAAGAACTCTGAAAGGCCTTCGTACAGTCAGGAGATTATTACAGGGCTGGAGGACGCCAACTCTGTAATTACGGCTGCTGTATGATTGTCATTATCCTCACACCCTGGGCTCAGTGGCTCACAAAACTTGCTGCAAAGTTCAGCTGCAGCCTCCAGCCAGCTATGGCTGGGCCTCTGCCCAGAAAGGTGGCAGTAGGTCTGATAACCTCTGGGAAAAAGCAAATCAGAGTTATTGCAGGGAAAGGGGCGTGGTGCCCTCGAGCTACTGGCGGTGGGAAGTTCTATTGTCTAGGAAAATAAACAAATGGGCCACTTTCACTTCTTATTATTTCAAACAACAGACATGGCAGTCCTGCCTTCCTTTTCCAACTCAGACTGTCCCCTGGGCTGGCTGTGCTGAGTCTGCAGAAGCAGACACCAGGCTTGAGCAAAGCTATTTAGCGGCTGCCACTGGGAACCTGTGGAGCAGCAAGTTTGGCTGCCTGGGTGGTAAGCCCCCCCTCCCCCGCCCTGAGAAGGACCAGCTCATTTCCCCCGATGCAACACCTCTCCTCCTAGCTTTCAGATATTTATGCCTCACCAGCCCCACACTACTGCTGTGGAAATTAAATATAGCATCTCAGGAGCCTCAGGCCGGACTGTTCTTACACAAGCCTACCAAGGGGAAGATGGGAAATACCAGTCTGAATGTGGCTAAGAATGTCCCCAAGTTTCCCATTAGGTGTTGCCTGTCACCCATGTATGGCTCTGCTTCTACATTCCCCCAGAAGGGTGGTTTCTGTGCATCTGCTCACCCAGGTTCCTGGGGTATGCTCACACCCACTCATAGAGTTGTGTGATATTGAGTCTCAGTGGCAGGGGACAGTCTTCTGTACTGTTCTAAATTATCTCAGATTTACAGTGAAGTTGAGTCCAGAAAAGTATATTTTCACCAATAACTGTCTGTTCTGTTGTGTGCAAAGAACTCTCCACATTCCTGTCACTGGCAACACAGTCTAAACAACTCCTAAAATGACATAAAATTACCCCTCATCCAGGGGCTATTCTGTTTGGATAGCTAGTCTGAGATTCTAAGGGTAACAGTCTTTTAGGGTGAAGAAAGTTGCTTTTCCCATTGTACTAAGATGGGGCTCACCAGAGAAAAGAGTTAATGCAACCCAAAGTGCTTGTGACTTACTCTCAATAGTGTTTATTCTCCCTGTGGGAGCCGATGCAGCAGTCAACAGACACTTCATTGCATGAACTGTGTATGGTGATTGTATTGGACAGTGTCTTATCACTGTCACAAAATACCCAAGACAATCAACTTAGAGAGAAAGGAGAGATTTGGGTTCACAATTTAGAAGGTTCCAGTCTGATTTTACTTGGCCTCGTTATTTTTGGAGAGTAGCAGGTTGATACAGCATGACAGCAGCAGCATGGGACAGGGAGAAAGTAATTTATACCATGAGTCAGGAAGCAAAAGAGGAAAAGAGACAGACAGACAGACAGACAGACAGACAGACAGAGACAGAGAGAGATGAAGGGGTGGGATTAGACCATTCCATGCAAGGGCAAGACCTGATGCCCATGGGGCCTTGTACTAGCCCCCACCTCCCAAAGGTTTCATCATCTTCTGGTAGGGCCAAGCATCTTACAGATGATCCAAACCATAGCAAGCCTCTGGGATTTAGAATTCACTTTTCCAGCAAAGTGAGTAATAGCAAAAGCAGAGCTCTTCTGAAGAGCCAGCAGAGGTACCCACAAGGTCTCTGACTACAGGAAACTCACAGACTTCTCTTCTGGTTGTACCCAGGTCTACTAGACACATGTTGAGTAAGTTTGGGGGTCTGGTTTCCTAGCCCACTCAAAACTTGAAGCTTCAGCCTGAAAGAAGGGGAAGCTGGCCACATCGCCTAAGTTGCAAAGTGATGACTGTCATGAATCATGAGGGAGCCTGAGAGGAAGAAGCAGGCAGGTGGTAGCAATTAGACACTGGAGCTATCTGAGGACCAACACCCTGCTGCACATTCTCTGGGTATCTATAGAACTCAGTTCAGTACATGGGTAGAAACCCCAAGGAACCATGGTAATGAGAAGGGATTCAATTATGTGTGATACAGAAAAGGTAGGGACCCAGGAAATATAATTCTTGAGGATGTACAGACAATGGGTAGATTAAGAAAGGACACAGAAACAGGATACAGGATTAGGCACACAGTATCATGTCAGTTTTCTTCTGAGAACCATGGCACTCCAAGCAGCAGACTCTGTTTTGTTTTGTTTTTTTCCCCCCAGATATTCAATAATTATTCTATACACTCACCACTCACTCCTGATCCTGTCTCACATGCCCTCCTCAGTTACATCCGAGACCTACAGCTTATGCTTGAATATCAAGTCCACATGAAGGAAGTATTTATTTACTGTGGTACTATGTAGTAAGATAGAATAGACACAACCTTCTTGACCTCATGACTATTCAGAGTTAATGCCAAGACACACATCAAAGGGAAAGGAGGGATCAAGGTTCAGTCATCATCATTTTACTTAGTCTGAATCACACAGTGTTTGGAAATTGCCAAGGGAAGCCTAAATAAGACAAGCTAAAGAGCAACTAATAACCAGCCAACAGAAAGCAGGACCTCTGTTTTTCAGAGTTACAAAGACTTAAACCCATCAAAGAGAGCTCACAATAGAGCCACTTCCAACCCCCTCAAGGATCCGTGGCTGAGAATACTTCTGAATGGGCAGGTATGCCCGACGCTGCCAGTGGGCCAAGGTTGCCCATTATGCCAGGACAAGGGTCAGTGGCCAAGTTCTCAGACCATACGAGTCCAGCCATCCGTAAGCCACTTCTGTGTTTGCACTGCAGCCATGGCGTCCTCTTCTCACAAGCTGGCTCTTAGCCGCATTAGCAGTTCTCAAGCAGGTCTGCACATTGCTCCATCTGTTCCCTGAATGAATTCCAGATGGATGCACCAGCCCATAAGGGCTGGAACAAGAGGAACAGGCACAGCCCTCCCCCCAGTCCACCTTCTCCAGCCACCTAGACTTAATAGAGCCCTTGCCTAAGGGCACAAGGCAAAGTGGAACAGAATACACCATTTGGAACCACCTAGCAAGGCTAGGCTAACAAGTCTCATGTGTGTGCCAGCTCTTGGGAAGGGTGAATCCACCCACTCATGCAGCCTGATTCCCACAACAGCCTACAAATGAAGACAGAGAAAGGACACACAACGTCTGTAACCTCAACAACAGCGTATCTCCTCAGCTCAAATCTGTCTTCCCAGCCCGCCAGGCCCATGACAGTGAGACACTGTGGGGACAGACTGTCTTCACAACAATCAGAACGACCGCACCTCATTCCTACCTTTTTTAGCTTGCCACTTTTGGTGCCCACGAAGGCCAGAGAGTGATTCTTGTAGACATACGCGATGACAGAAGTCATGCGGTCCCTGTCCTCCGTGAAGACCGGGATGCCACGTACCATTTCAGACACTCCCAGAGGGGCATTCATATCCAGGCCACAGAAGTTGTCATCAATGGTTAGGAGCTGAAAATTAAATGGGAGAAAAGTTAGAAAAGAGTATGGAGGGAAATGGCAAAGGTGTGAAGCCAGTAAACTCTGGAGCTGGAAGACTCCTCAGCAATGGACTGTTCGTTCCAAATCCTTCCCCCTCCCCCTTTTTTTTTCATGAGAAGCTCAGCTGCAGAGGAGCTAGGTGGTTTGTCTAAATTCCCCAGGTAAACAACTGCAAGCCCAGCGCAGCAGCACAGATCCTTAGAGGTATTTCTCACTACACCACAGATCTCCTCCAACCCTTCTAAGTGCCTTCCTGGTGAACTCGACTGTTCACCTTCACCGTCACATGGGAACATTCTGGGCTAGTCCCCTGCAAGAGCTACAAATACCTGGCCTCTGGTGTAAGAAAGAAGCAACCTCCATGGCTGTGTCTCCGCACTGGCTTGGAGCAGATGCACTAGTGAGAGCTCAAAGGGAGAGAACGAAGTCTAGACACTTACAGTGTGGCTAACGGGAGCACAGAGCCATGCCCGAATGATCAGCAAAGGACGGGGATTCAAAGGAGCAAGACTTGTACCTGCTCAGGCTGCTGCTCTTTGCTCTCCTGTCTCTTAGAGCACAGTGAAGAGGGGCAGCTGTAGTCTTTTTATGCCTATAGCAACCTTCCCCAGAACATGATCTGTGGATCGAGCTCCCCAGGATGTTCCACATCAAAGGACCTCTTGGATAACCTCCTGGGAAATATGATGTTATGTGGACCATAGGAGAGCCCTTAAGGAGGAAGGTACCTGGTCTTGGGCTTCCCCAAATGTCTCGTTTTCAAACCAATCTACCCTGCTAGGCACTCTCTACATGGGAGGCTCTTCAATAGCCCGTGACACAAATGACCCAGTTCTTCTCCAGACTCCAGGAAACAAAACCTCCAGGGGTCAGGGCCCAAGAGGGAGGGCTCCTGGGCCAGTGTCTCAATCTTTCCACTCAATCTGTATACTTTTCATACCAGGCTTCCGGTTATTTCCAACATAGAGGACCCCTTGCAGCCATGGGGTCCCCTTTGGATTCTGTCACACCCAGGAGGGCAAGGACCTCTCCAGTGGCTGATGAGAGCTCTCACACTCTCATCTCAAGCAGCTTTGGGTTGGCTCAGTGCTGGGAATTTACTGGATTTCTCCTCCTTTCTTGGAAGCGCTGTGTGGCCTCGGAAGAGTCGCTCTGCCTTCCTGTGCTTTTTATTTTCCACACTGTAAAGTTGAAGGGCATAGTCCCTGCCTTTTGATGGGCTGCCGTAAAGCCTATCAAACTCAGGCCCGTAAACGTATCTGGACCTTCCAGAGAAGGGAGTGAAATAAAATATAAGGTGTCGCTTTTTTAAAGGCTTAAATCCAGTCAAAGCAAGAGGCATCTGGGGAACAGCAGGCAGGCTCTTGCCAACACGACCCTGTGAAAGTGGCCAACTCGGCTCTCCAGGGCCTAGGGCTTTTCCATTCCCTTCCTGAAGGGGAGCAGGGATAGGCATCACGGAGCGAGGACACGATACTGAACACTGAAAGTTCTCTCCCCTCTCCCCTTCTTCCGCATGTGGAACAAATGTCTGTCCTGTGCCTTTGGACGCCTCCAGCCTCTGCTACAGGCATCTGGCCCAACAGCTCAGATCCAATAAAACTCTCCTCGTCCCCTCTAAAAACAAAAACAAAAACGGAACAAACAACAACAACAATAAAAAACTGTAGCAGTGAAGTTTGTGGTGAAGCTTCAAGATCTAGTCTCACCTGCATCTTTCTTCCTATCATGAGGAAAGGGGAAAGGAGACAGGTGGTAGGCACAGGGTGGATAGATGAGAGGAAAGAAAGATCCAGGTTAAGAGAGTATGATGCCTAGTCCTCTTAGACGCAACTATGGCAACCTGCCAGGTGTTCTAAGGGCATGCTGGGGTGCCCGGAAGCCTCATCATTCTTGAATTTTGCTGATTCTGGGTCACAAAGAATCCGCATCCCTAACTGTCCCTGCCTACGCTGTGCTACAAAGATCTCTGCTACCAGCAAAGTTTGTATTCTGCCCATTTTGACCCATCTTCCAAAGAGCTGAAGCTGAATGATGATCCACTCTGCACAATGGGAAACTGAGGCAGGGAGAGAAGAAGCCCATGTTTTGTAGTCCCCCCCACACACACACACCATCATCCACACATGCCCTAGTTAACTGGAGGCGCGGGGGGGGGGGGGGGGATGTCGGCTTCTCCGCTTTTATCTAGAAGAGCATTTGAGTGACCAGGGTAACTGAACGGTATTTCCCCTTAGCTGGGTGAAGCAAACAAATCAACTGCCCCCTACCAAAACAGACTGTGCACTCAGACAACTGTATCATGAAGTCATGCTGTCAGAGGCAGAGGGTGCATTACCTGTGGGTCTCTTTGGCTGCAGCCCATCACAGCAAGGGGCCCCGGGTGAGGAATTTTTTTTTTTAACCAGGAAGGAAGCTAGGGTAGCCCAGCCTGACTGTCTGAGCTGGGGGTTCCGTTCATGCTGGATCACAGGACTCCATGCCAGGACCTGTCAGGGTCTCCATGCCTGCACCATGCCATCGTCATCTACATTCCCTGCCCTAGTACTGTCCGTCAGCTCAAAGGAGATGGAAGATGCAGCGAGAGGCTCATGGATGATGTAGTGGAAAATGACACCCTCCACCCCTGGCTTCCCCAGGGCTCAGTTTTGAATGAGACCCCAGGTGATGAGGGTGTGACCCAGGCCTTAGCCAATCAGGTTGCTGAGTGAGGTTCCCCAGCCATTCTGAGAGGTGCTCTCTTTTAGTTCCCTCAAAGCTGAAGCACCTTGGGAGGGATTTTTTTTTCCCACAGTGAAGTACTGAGAAAATATCAAAGGACAGGGTTGCACAGCTGCTGAGCTGTCTCTCTGAGGTGTAACTTACTATGACTGTCCTCCGAGGCTCACCTTCCCGGGTGGTCAGATAGCAAGGCGGGGCCAATGTATGGACTGGAGGAGGCAATGAAAAAGGCTACCTGTCACCTGGAAGCCCTTCCGTGAGGGAAGATTTCTTGTGTGGATTTGTTAGTAGAAATCTGGTCTGCAACACGAGACTGTGTTCCTCACAGACTAATGGCTGTGGGGAACAGAGCCCCTTGCAGCCTCTGGGTAATTACAGCACAGGCAGAGGATCTGCAAGACTCTCCCTGCCCAAAGACCTGCAGATGCCCATAGAGTGCAGATGCCTGGGCTCCAGGCTAATTGGTGGAAGCTGTGGACAGGTGGGGACGGTAGGTATCCCTGAGTGCCTGGGTGATGAGGGTGCAGAGCATTTGCTCTGACCCTAGCTGGGTCTTCCCCAGGGCCCCATTAACAGTATTATTAGAGCCACAGTCACAAGAGCCAGGACAAGACTTAGCTGTAATCAAGAGTCAGGCTGAGCCTGCAGGCCTAGGCCTGACCTCTCCCTCCAGTCACCCCACAAATGCCCATGAGCATGTTACAGCTGCCAGCATGATATGTCTTCCTCACACACACCCAGTGTGTGTGTGTGTGTGTGTGTGTGTGTGTGTGTGTGTGTGTGTGTATGTGCACATAGGTCTAAACAGCACGTGGAAGCCACAGGTCAATATCAGGCATCGTCCTCAATTGCTTTCCACCTTATTTTTAGAGACATGGTCCCTCATTAACCTGAAGTTCATCGATTCAGCTAGGCTGGCTGGCCAATGAGCTCCATTCTTACAGAGGAAGACCATAATTCCATCACAAGGGAATGCATGTGGGTATCACTTGGATAATGTTATTGACAGGCCAGAGACAGACATTCCTTACTACCAAAAGGACATTTTATTTTCTTTCCACTGTCCGCAAAAGTCCTCATAGAATGCATGGGATGCAAATTAGGATGAGTGCCCCACTGCATTCCAGGGACTCTGAGAATGAGTCGAGAGAATGTGTCTTAAGCATCTTTGGACCCTTAGCTTAGTGCCGGGTTCATAATAGGTTAAGACATACAGGTGGTATACAGATGGGTAGGTGGATGGAAGAATGGACAGACAGATGGGGGATGGGTGACCAAATAAAAGATTTGCTTCCCCAGTGGTTAACAGTATAGAATATAGTCAATAATATCTGTATATATGTAAACAAATATACATGTGGGTACAATATAACATGGATGAAAGAGAACAAGAAAAACTGAGTGTCAGGAGATGAGAAAGGACCAAATGCTCATAAAGGAGACAAGTTATGAAAAAGAATATAAAGTTAATTGCTTTTCTAGTTCTAATTCTGTCATGGATCTTTTGTTTTTGGTGGTGAACAAGTGCATAAAATCTATTTGATACTGAAAGTAAGAAATTTAATGTAAGCTTTACAGCCTCCATTTGAAATGCCAGCTCTAAGTAGACATAAGTTCATTAAGTTGTATAAAATTTGGGTCTGGTTAATTTTGGTGTGTTATACTTTGTAATTTATTTGCAAGGATATTTAATAATAAATTCTATTTAAAATTTTTCCAATGTGTAGGCTAAAGCTTGGATGAGCAACTCACTGCGTTCCAGGACTCGGAGGAGGAGGACAGGGACCATGCCTTATGCATCTCTGTCCTCTTAGCCTAGTGTTTGGTTCACACTAGGTTATGAAACATGAGGTAAATAGATGGGTGGATGGACAGCAGGATGGCAAACAGGTAGATAGATGAGCAAATAAAAGCTTTGGTTTCCCAGTGGTTAACAATTCTGAACTTTGTAACCATGGGCAAATCATTTAGCTAAGGTTTATCATTTGTAACATGGGACTTGTGATACCAGAACATATTTCATAGCGCTGTGGTGAAGATTAGATCATCTAATCCATTCAGAACACTGTCCACCATCAGTAAATGCTACAAGAGTGCTAGCTCTTACTATTATTTGTCAGCTGGAGACAAATCCACTAACTTTGGTGAGTCTCAGCAGTGCTAAGGAAATATATGGTTTCTACCTCAGGAGTGTTATAGAGATTGAGGGACTAGAGTTGTCTCTAAGGATGGGGGTAGAAATTGTACCC